TGCCGCTCCCCCTCCCCCCGAGCTCCTTATTCCATAATATTCCCTGTTTATTATTTTCCAGCTTGCCACAATGACGATCATGTGAAAATTTATATCTAGAATCTAGATATCTCAATGAAACTTCTGTTTTTTGTAAATGGCAAATTACCGTCATTATTACTACCGATACTGGGTTGGCTACCTCAATTTTCTGTGCATTTTAAAAGCTTTTGTACATTGGTTTATACTTTTTAATGAAACTGGTTTGTTCTTAAATGGGAAAAGTTGTCAAAGTAGCTTACTAAAATTACAAAAATTTCATGATATCTTGTTCTTTTGCTTCACTGAAGGAGAAATAAAACAGATTTGTTCCTACAAGTACACGGGCATGAGTTATTTTATTCCACCTCCCCCTTTTTTTATTCCTACCCCCTCTCCCTTTTTATTCGATACCTTAGAGTAAGAAATTAGGATGCTGAGTATGCCTTCTACGACTATCAGTCTATAATGTTAGTTCAGGTAACTCGATACATCTACTTTGAGCTAGCACTTAAGTGTTTTCTCAAACTTGCTGCAGGGCACTTTGTTGTTGTCGGTGACCGACTGGAAGTTGGGGAGTCCAAGCTGAACTTTGAACAAGACAAGTCTTACAGGATATCTGTTACTTCTCAGGATGACGGAACACCAGCTAAGTCTTTTAAAGTAAGTCTTTTCTCTTTTGTGAAGAAGAAGGTAGAGAAATGCAAATGCGAATTGTAAGAGTGATGATTATAACGGTAAAGGTGAGAGAAAGGAAAGAGATGAGAGAGAGAGAGAGAGAGAGAGAGAGAGAGAGAGAATGAAAGGATTCTTTAATGGAGGGAGTAGAGGTAAAGAGAGTTGGGGAAAAGAAAAATACTTCAGTATTGCGTATGACACTATACAATTGTTGTTGTGTGCAGATGGAGTTTGAAATCCAAGTGACAGACGCCAATGAGCCCCCGACAGAGATCACAGTGATGGAGCCAGTGGAAGTGGAGGAGAACTCCGCACAGCAGACGGTACTCTCCGACATCACGGTTATGGATGAAGAGCCGAACCAGATTCATTCTTGCCAGATTACCACACAGGGGACACCATTCTCAGTACATAATAACCTTTCTAAGTGCTATGAGTTTTTGACTTACTTGTTTACACTGAAAAGTTCTCATACTTTACATCGACTTGAACCTTAGTGAATACTTTTGTTTCAAAACAATGATTCTCATTCTTTTACAGCTGATCCAGGCTGCACGTGACGTGGTTGTAAAAATTTGGTTTAGATTTCATTTTAAGTAATGCATAGTTTATCAAACTTTTTTGGGGATTATTTTGCTGTGTTAATATATATGCTTCTATAAGTTATCAAACTATTGAAAGACATTTTGATCATCAACAGGTGTCTACAAATCCTGAAGGGAAAATGCAGCTTGTAGTCTCTGATGTGGTCAATTTTGAAGACAAACCAAACTTTGATATTGTCCTGAAGTGCTCAGATGGAGAATTTGCTATTGAGAAAGTGAGTAATTTTGTTTCAAGTTGTTTTGCTTAGAAAGATAATGGACTTTCAAAGGGTTTTTATTCTAGATGTTTTGAAAGGCACTCTTTTGTGTTGTGCCCCTGCCGAATGAATAATAATAATAATAGATAGCATTTGTATAGCGCATATCCCCGCTCAACAGCAGGCTGTATGCGCTTTACACTATATTATTACCCCAGCAGACCATAGAACACTCCGAAACATTCTCAGCTTCCCGGGAAGCATACAGTGCAAGCAGCTGATTAAGCGCTCTAACACTAACAAACTGACAAGATCTTTCGCTGTCTATAGCCGGGTACCCATTCCCACCTGGGTGAAGTGAGGAAAATTCGTGTAAAGTGCCTTTCCCAAGGACACAACGTCGGGCCCCTGACGGGATTGAAACCCACGACCTTACGGTTGCGAGTCCGAGAGCCTAACCACTAGGCCACCGACGCCACGAATGAACATAAGTCTGTATAGAACAACAGAAGCTCGAAATGAAGTAATCGCCATTTGGGGTTGAAATGTGGTGAGATGGCTCATCTCCCTTGCATCTCTGGTGTTTAATAACTGCTGCTTTGAATGCTGTCATATTGTCAACAATCTGTTCAACTGTTCTAAGCTTAGAAACACAATCATTCAGAAGAGAGAAATATCTAAGTTTATAAAGATTGTCTTTGCATTATGTATCTTTTCTTGATTTTTTAACATTTTGTTTTGTTTGTTTTGGTAAGTGTTTTAAGGTGCTCACAACTGCATAAGGTCATATGACAAATGAATTTTGAATTTTGTTTGGGTGATGACCGAAGTCTGCTCTTGTCGGTTTTGGACCCCCAAGGGATCTTTAATTTGCGCAACTTGCACATGGGACCTCTGAGATTGTTCGCCCTTATTTGAGAAGGCTAAGTGTTAGATCTTACGTATCGTAAGATCAGGGGTGTGACTGAAAGACAGCAGTAAAAAGGAGCAATGGAGTAGCAGTAGAAAGGCTGCAGAAAGAGTCAGGAGCCCAGAGGAGGGGGAAAAAGGTGGTGGTGGGGGGGAGGGGGGAGGTCAGAAAGTGGAGACAAAAGCAGATGACAGAACACGGTTAGAGTTTTTTAACATTGCACATTTGAAATTTGACACAATATTTCTCGAGCACATGCAACCAATACCACAGATTAAGAAACTGCAAGAAAAAAAAACAAAACTCAAATTTGTGGGCAATCTCATTCTGTTTCTTCTGTAAAGATTTATATTTTGAAAAATGTTTGTTAACACTTAAACAGAAAATTTATAAACAATCCTAATGCAAAATTTACTTTTGCTGTTTTGAGCACTCTGTTCAGTGTTAAGCATGTATAGTCCCAGAAAAAACAAATTGCTCAATGGATTGACAATTCGTTTTTTACCCTTATCCCCAGGAAATTGCTGTTGCCGTAAAGGATGTGAACGAGCCCCCGACAAGCATCACTCTGTCAGGTATCCAAGCTCTGCCAGCCATGAGTGACGGAGATTACGAGGTCGGATCCCTGACTGTGGAGGACGAAGACAAGGGGCAGACACACACTTTCTCCACCAGTGGCCCCAACTCTGACTTGCTGAGTGTGAGTTGAAAGTTTGGATCCACTTTGTAACTTGGCTTTTGTCTGGTCAATGTCCATTTCATATTTACATAGACACTGTGCTAGCAAAATGACATTATATCTCATTTTTGTAACTTTCAAGATAAATGGAAAAAACTGTTTAACTATACTATTTATCATCTAATAATGGTGAAAACTTTCCATGCATGTTTCATTTGTGACTGCCAGCACTTTTTAATTTTGGTTCTACCAAAAGATAGAGATATTGTACTACCAAACAAAATAGAAGGCTAGTTTCATTTTGGCACAACACTGAGTTTTGCTAGCCCAGTGATGGTATGTAGTTAGGAATTTTTAGTTCCCAATGAATGTACCTTTTTAGTCCTTCTGCTTGCGTCTTTATAGTATATTAATCCAAAAAATGTGCTGAGGAAAATTTCTTTTTGAGTTAAACTTAGTCTTATTATCAATATTATTATTATTATTATTATTATTATTATTATTATTATTATTATTATTATTATTATTATTATCATCATTGTTATTATTATTATAATTATTATTATTATTACTATTATTATTATTATCTTCTTCTTCCTTCTTCTTCTCCTCCTCCTCCTCCTCCTCCTCCTCCTCCTTATTATTATAATTATTCTTACTAATCTTACCATTATTGTTGGCTATTACTATTTATACACTGTAGTAGGATACATCTCATTCATAACAGGTTCAAGGTGGCGACCTCCTGATCCTCACAAAGCCCATCTCCCCTGAGCTCCTGGACAGACCAAGCCCAACAGTGGAGGTCACTGTGGTTGTGGTGGACAATGGTCAGCCTCACTTGACCTACACACAGATGCTGAGTCTGCCTGTCACAGGCATGGACCTGGAAGCTCTCAAGCTGCCTGACATCACCATTGACAATACCAAAGTACGAGAACAATAGAGGTGTTTGATGTTGAAGTTGTTGTTGTTTTTGTTTTTGTCTTTGTTGTTTTTGCTGTCGTGGGGTAATTAACGCTGTTGTTGATCTAATAACTTATTGTTGTTACTGTTCTGGTTATTGTTGTTTTTGCTGATACCTCCTCAATTATGTTGAAAGTCTTGAAATCTTGGTGCCTCAAATATATCCAACTGATATAAACATTCATGTTCACATGCTGCATATTTGAGTGGTAAATTGCAGCTCACCCAGTCATATAAGCTATGACTATAAATTCTGTACCTCACAGCACTTTATGTTATATGCACAATGCTGTTTTGAAAGATTCCCTTTAGATTTCTTTTAAAAGACTGAAAGTGCTTACTATTTGGTGTGAATAAAAGTATTCCATAATTTTGGGACAGCAATAGAAAAAGATTTCTCTAAATAAGGGGAAATATGGCATGTTTATAATAGAATGGAATACAGATGACCTTAAGACACATCCACACTGATAAATTTTAAAACATCTAGTAAATAAGATGTTTTTCTGTTTTTGGTAAGAGTTTTATGGTGTTCGCAATTACATGTGGTCATATAAGCATGCAAGACACAAGTTGGTAGTTTTCATGTTAGTCCAAAGTATGGCTTGGCTTTATTTTTTGGTTTTCTATGTACCATTGCCAATGAGTAGGACACATTGGGATGATCATGAGTCATGCTTGTCCTCTTGTTTTATTCTATTTCAGATAGCAGAAGATGCCACAGCTGGGACTGTTGTTGGAGAAATTTATGACATCAAGACAGGAGTCAAAGATACTGTTCAGTTCTCCATCATTGAAGATGAAAGTGCTTTATTCGACATCAAAGACCAGAATCTCATCCTTGCTAGAAACATTAGCGAATTTTTTGGAAACTCTGCGGAGGTCACCATCCAGGCTAAGAGCACTCAGACACAGGAGGAAAAATCCCGAACTATTACAGTCATTATAACGCGGTCAGATAAGTGTTATAATGATGGTAAGACGTGTGACGACAATGCGAGATGCGTCAAAGTTAACGACACGCTCCATGAGTGCAAGTGTAATGAGGATTTTGAAGGCAATGGCTTCTCTTGTCAACAGATTGATGACTGTGAGCTACAAAACGGTCATGAGAAATGTAAAAATGGAGAATGCAAAGACGACATCAACTCTTTTGTTTGCCAGTGTCAGGATGATTACACTGGGGAATTCTGTGAGGTTCTGCCAGAAGACAAGGACCCATGCTTCGGTCACACCTGTAAAAACAAGGCTGTTTGTCTCCGAGGACAGGATTTAGAAAGTTACAGCTGCGAGTGTGCACCTGGGTGGGAAGGGGAAAAATGTGAGACCAGTATTGATGACTGTGAGAATGAACCCTGTCAAGCAGGAGGTACTTGTGTGGACGGACATCTAGCTTTCTACTGCGAGTGCCCGTCAGGCAGAGAGGGTCACCTCTGCCAGTTTAACTCTGATACTTGTGAAGAAAATGGCTGCAACTCTGAGGAAGTATGTGTTCCTAAAGCGAATGAAGATGACAGTATATGCTCCTCATCCAAAAGGAAAGCTAAATTGTCTGTCAAATGTAAAGCAAGTGATACACCTGTTATGTGTCTGAGCAGATTTTTAAACTTTGTCTCACAGAATGGTCGCTTCCCATCAGTAGCTTCCAGTATTGAGGATAATAAACCTTCTGTGCTGGAGACTGCCAGGAGAAAAAGAAATGCTCGATTTGCCAGCATCCATCGAATGTTCCCCACAAAAATAATGCAGTCAGATTTGCTCAGTTTAGAGCAACGTAGAAAACGTCAGTCAGGAAATGATGTGCAAGAGGTGGCTGTGTACCCTCTCGAGTGGGACGTGCAGAGCAATGGAGATTTGGAGGTGACGTTTGTCGTGATGGACTCTGTGGATGTCCCGTACACAGAGGAAGATATTGTGTCAGCTCTGAAGGAGACTTGTGACTCTATATGTGAGTACACGTTCATGATCTTTCTACTTCTATTTAGTTTTAGTAAGAGGTTTA